AGGGAGGGAGGGAGGGAGAGAGAGGGAGAGGGGGGGGGAGGGATTAGTATTAAAACTGCGCCTTGCCTCATGGCTCCCTCAAACGACGGTCAGGGGGTCAGGCACCTTGGCGGATGCGAGTATAGGCAAGCTAGCATACACCTCCGTCTTCTCTGTTTACACGTTTACCCGGATAGCAGTTCAGCAGGGTTTACGACCACAAGATGCAGTTCGTCATCTTATTGTGACGTGAGATTGCATAGTTTCTTTTTAAAGGTTGAACAGTCTTTACCTTAAAACGTTCCCCAACCCAATCTTTGGAAGTACGCTGCGGTACCCGAGGACGGAATTCTCACGACCCTCAGATGGCCTGCCCTCCCCCGCCGACTCTCTCCCCCTCAAAACCAAAGCAGCAGCAGCAGTCGTCTCGGCACATTCCACCACCGATTCCACGTCCCCACGCCATCCCAAACAAGCCGACCCCTTCCCTCCCCGCCTCCAGTCCGACGCCCAGTCGCCTCCTCGCTCTTCCCAGCAGGGCTTATTTGCAGCTATTAGCGGAGCAGGGGAGCTGCTGAGGCTACTATCGTGATCGGGCCTGAGGCCAGCAGGGGGCAGGGGGGGGGGGGGGGGGGGGGGGGGGGGGGGGGGGGGGGGGGGGGGGGGGGGGGGGGGGGGGGGGGGGGGGGGAGAGAGAGAGAGAGGGGGGGGGGGGGAAAGGGGGGGGGGAGAGATTGCAGGGGGTTCAGACGGAGTCAGAAGGGATGGGAAGGGAGAGTGAGCAGACAGCGGAGAGCAGGAGGGGCAGAGGAGGGCAGGGGAGGGGCAGGCAGGGGAGAGCAGTATTATTAGCAGCGCAGTAGCGGCGCGGCAACAAAAGGGGCGACAACAAATTCAACAATTACCGACGACGCGCGTCACGGGCAGGTCGAGGCCACCGTTATTTGCAGGCGTATAGTCGTGGGGCTGACGGCTGACGGCTGACGCCAGGCTGACGCGTGTTGTCCGCAGCTTGCTGCACACCCAACCGCACGACTGTCCAGCGCGTCGTCTGCTTTGCGGGCGTTATTCGCAGGCTCCATTACCATCGGATTAATTCCCAGGCATGCAACATTATTTGGTCGGATGCCCTGATGCCGAGGGGTGCTTCACTAGGGAATTCAAGCGTACCGGGTGCAACCTGAATACGCAGCAGTGTTGCGAGTTTGCATACTCGATATGGCCACAGGGGCTATGGCCCCTTACGGGTGTAAAGAGTAGGCAACTCCGCAACACTGCTGCGTATTCACAGTTACACCCTGCACACTGTGCATCAATTTTTCTATGTTTTTTCTTTTGATTTTTCTGTGTTTTTTTCTCGATTTTTCTTGATTTATTTTTAGTTTTTTCGAATGAGTTTTCTTTTCTTTTTTACCTTGATTTTTCTCTGATTCTTCTGATATGTTTGGAGGGTGCCCGCTGACCTTTTGGGTGTAGCAGCCGCTCGCCTGATGCCCTGACGAAAGCTCCCCAGTCAAGGGGTTAGGCGAGGTTAGGTTATTCCTTTGTTTCGTTCACTTTGCGCCGATATCAGCTGAACCAAGAGGGAGGTATCTAATGTTGCGCCGGGGTCTGGCGCTGATCGCGGCGACGCGAGCGACGCCGCTGCTGCGGACGCCCCGGGCGGCCCGCGCGGCCAGCTGCTGCGACCCGGACGCGCTCCCGAGCAAGGCGGCATTCCTCGCCAAGTGGCCCGCCCACTGCCCGCCCTACGCGGACTCCTACACGGACGCCTGCCTCGCGACGGACGACGAGCTCGAGGCCGCCTACGAGAAGTACTTCGAGCGGCTGGACATCGACGGCTGGGAGGTGCGCCAGGCGCTGTCGGTGAGGGCTCGGCGGCGTGTGCCAGGAAGGAAGGGCCTCGACGCATTCGCTGCAACAAAGCACTCTAGACGTGGGTGGGCCTCATTGTTGTGCGTCTGAGGGATCGTTCAAAACGTTCAAAAAGTGTGTCAGTTTTTCTCGGATTTATTCGGCAAATGATGCGAGCTTTAGCGCCTGCGAGACTCGGGGTAGGCCAGCCCGCAGTGCACGCACGCGCTGAAGGCAAGATGTTGCCTACCTATCAGGCGCTATGAGAGCTTGCATGTGCGGAACTTGGAAGTTTCGTCGTAGAAAAATTATGGTTTCAAACTGTTTGGATTTCAAATTTCCCACTGTTTGGAGTTCAAAACTTTCCAAGGATTTGCTTGGAAATTCCCCCCCCCCCCCAAAAAAAAAGTCATATCTGGAGCGTATCATTCAGCAGTCTCGTGGGCTGGGTGTGCTTCGATCGACGCTCGACCTAGCTCGGAGTCAACTTCGCGCGCGCGAAATATATAACGCGAATGCAGATCTTATCCGTGCCTCGCCTCGGGGGGTTCCCCACTGGGTATCTAGGGCTGGCCGTCGTGGGACTTCCCGGTCGCGGGCTAAGAATAGCCTCGCATCAGCCTTCAACAACAGGTGGCTGAGCAACAAGTCGAGCCTCCAGTCCTGACTTAACGAACGTCCGGCCGACGATCGTGATGATGAACCGAGGGGGTCTCCTCGGGGGAATTACCACAGGGAAGCTCCCCTGCCGCTGCGAAAAATAGTTGTCGTAGGTTTGCGGGAAAAGTTTCCGTGTCGTGTGTCTTTAAATTACAATTTGAAGTTGTAAATTGACAAGCACTTCGAATAGACTTGGATTTGGTCGACAAGAAATAATGGGCTGCTGTCGCAAATTTACAACACATTTTGTAAATAAAAATTACAACAGATGTCGTAAATTAACGACGATATTTTTCACAGTGATGCCACTGCAATCGTTGCACTACCTACAACGTCTTGGATTTGAAACTATGTGAACAAAACGAATTAATTATTTTGTGCTCACCCTTGTGCGCTCTATGGTTCATGGAGGTACAAATCTATGAAATGTTTTCGCATCCGTACTTATCATAGTAGATCTCGAGCCGTGTCCGAGTTCCCGCTGCCAAACCCACCTCCGTGCATTGCCCTTCCAGGACGTCCAGGGCCTAGAGATGATCCTGGAACCGAGCACGATGGTGGCGGCCCTGCACGCCATCCGCCGCGTCAACGACTACGCGCTGGCCGTGCGCTTCCTGGAGGCGGTGCGCTCCCGGTGCGGCCCGCAGAGCGACGCCGCCTGCCGTGAGCGCTACCAGTGGATCCTCCGCGAGCTCTGCCCCACGCTCCGGGACCTGGGCGTCGACACCCCGGAGGCCATGGGTCTCGACAAGCCCGTGTACTGGGTGGACGAGCCGGACGACGTCGACTAAGTTGGAACCACCAAACCAACGACCAAAACGAAACGTCTCTCCCCTTCCCTGCTCCAATAAAATGACGCCTCAGTTTGTGCGCGTGTGTGTCTCTTTCAAAACCTTCCCTTCGACCAGGTTGTCACGGTCACGATTGTCCATTTCTATGTTCTGCGCTGTGCCGACACTCACAAAATGAAAAGTAAAAGACTTTGTAAAGTTTAGTAGATATACAACACGCCCTTTTTACACAGCCCAATTAGTGAGAAACTTTGCCAAGGCCTCGCCGAATAATAATGCAAGTACTGGCTGAAGGCCGAATAAGAAGATAGCTGAATACATGACACCCATGAATGACAATCTTTTTTCCCCTCTTTTCTGGACTGTTACTTTGCCTGGTTTGCTTCAGCCTGCGCCGCCCTGCCGGGCACAAAAGTTATACTGCTGCCTCGCAGGCCCGGCCGCACGCTCTCTCTCCGTCCACCCCTCATAACCCAAACCCACCCCTTCCCCTCCCCTTCCGACCACCCCTCTCCCC